CCCAAAGATTAGGGATGGACTGGAGCCAGCTTGCATTGTGTGTCACCAAGGCCTCTCCTCACTGAGAACTGGACGACCTCAGCTCACCAAGTCAGATGTGCAGAGTGAGCAGAGCCAGGGACATTCTTCGCCCGTAGGGAGGGTTTTACCTGGAAAACATTATTAACAGATATTTTCTCACTGAGTGAAATAGTTAACTGGTTTAAAAAGGCAGGTGGGGAAACTAATCCTGTACCAAGTGGTTATCAAGTTCTCCTCTGCACAGGGCTGTGTTCTCTCCTGTTAAATGAAGAAACATTTCACTCATGGGCATATTTCTGGCATCACCGCACATTTGAGCTGATGGGGACTGTGCAAGGCTGTTATTTTAACAACTTACCAAAGAGGTTCACAGAACAGGCTGGTGCCTTCTGCTTGGACTGCTTGTCAGAAGGCACCGGGGGCTTGGGATCAGGCTACCCCCCTGCAGGGCCGAGGGCCAAGGAGCTGTGGTGGCCCTTTGGCCGCTCTGGCCCTGCCGGGAGCGGAGCAGTGCAGAGGCCGGGACTCCCACGCACTGCTCCCGCCCTCCCGGAGCTGGGAATGCGACCTCTCGGCGGCAGCAATGTCACCGCTGGCTGCTGGGACATCAGGCTGACAGAACAATCGATGCCGGGCTGCTTTGGTCGATGTGAATTTACAAATGAACTTCTGTCGGGAGAGGTGTTACTGGTGTGAACAGCCTTTGGTCTCAGCAGTTTCTGAGAAGGGGGACAGGCACATCAAATGCACCAGCACACAGGTGCTGCAGGTGAGGAGAAGCGTTTTGGCCCCAGGGTGAGCTCGTGGGTCTCCATGTCCTGAGATAACACTGCTGCTGCAGAGGAAGGGCATGCTCCCTCCTGCACAACCTGCTGCCACTGCAAGGGGAATTGCCCTTTCCCAACTCCTCCCCAGTGCGGGTGAACATCCCAGCCCAAGGCACAGGAGAGGGGAGGTTGGCCCGGGCAGACTCTCGTGTCCAGGGCTGTCCCGTGGGTGCCATGTCCAGGACTGTGCTGTGGGTGCCATGTCCAGGACTGTGCTGTGGGTGCCATGCCAGCCCCAGCAGCAGGCAGGGCTGTTGTGTAATGTGTCACACGGAGGCTGCTGGCGTGGGAGCAGCGCTTCACCTCGGAGCTAACGCTGGGCTGCTCTCAGCTCTGCACATGAGTGATTCAGGGTGAACTGCAGCAGTTTGCTGGTCCTGGAGAAAAATCCTCCCTGGAACCAGGCATTTGGGTTGGCTTAGGATTTCTGAAGGGTTTCCTGCCCTCAGTTTTGCACTCTCACCCACTGATGGACAGGAGTAGACAAAGGGCAAAATAAGAACATATTGAGGGAAAGAAAAAGAGGCATGCAGCCTTCTCAGACACAAACTCCTCCACAAACAGGAAAATTATCTATTTCTACCACATAGAGAAGTGATGGAGAGAAAACAAGGAACAAGCACATTTTCTTTTTTTCTGCTATCCCATTTGATACCACATAATCTGTCATTAGATTATCAAAGCAGTTTTATTAAATTAAAAACAAAAGTTAGACATTCAGTGTCCCTGAGAAGGGAACCTAGACCAACCTATTCCCCACACCAGACTGGAAGATAGACACTAGACACGTGAAATGAGAGACACTGTCCCAAAGCCTGGAGCAAGTTTGGCTCCCTCTCCCTCTGCTCTCTGCTAGGGATCTGCCACCTCCCTGCCAGCCTGCAGCAGTGCCCCTGCCTGCACAGCTCTTGTGCTTTCTGCCCATGTGAAAATGTGAAACATTTGAATCTGGTCAATTAGAGCCTGCTGAGCCCCAAGACCTGGTAGCTGTAGGCAGGCAAGATGGGGGAGTGATGGCAACACATTTCCACACTGAAGAGGTGCCAGAAGATGTTTCTGCTTGGACAAAGCCAGGTGGAGATAATGGTAAGGGAGGATGGAGTCTGGATGTAGAAGGCCAGTCGTGAGCCAGCACCACAGGGCATTGTAGGCAGGTTGATGTATTTGTGGGTTTTCTGGCATTTATTAGTCTCCTCTGCAGCAGGGAGGAGGGATGGTACCAGCCCTGCCCCTTACTCTCTGCCCAGACTTTCTCCACTTCGTTTGACTTTACCTCTGAAAGGTGCCACACCCTTGTGCCAACACTCCCACAGCAGCAGGAAGGGATCAGGCTTCAGCTGGATGTCCATGGAGATCCAGAGAACCCAGTGGAGGTGGGCTCCACAGGAAAGAACTGAACAAACTGGGAAACAGATTGAAGGTAAGATCTGGTAGATCCAGCTGGTCTTGGGTGAACTGTGATCATCTCTCTGTTGGCTCCAACCATGATTTGCATTGTGGGCTGTGGATGCTCTTCCCTGCCTTCCCATAGACAAACTGGAAGAGGAGGACAGCTGTGACAACCCAGGGGCAGTGCAATACGAGACAGGCCTTTACACAGCAGTGTGTGAAGAAAGTGGGTGAGGCTGGGGCTGAGGAAGGAGGATGGATGAAGGCAGCGGTTACCTACAGCAAGAGGAGGACTGGGATCAATCACTGGCCAAAGTTATTCCCTGCAAAGGCCCAGGAAGGTTCATGACATTGTTTATGAGCCTGTAGCACTTTGATTGGAAAAGATGGTGCAATTACAGCACTGGTTCCATGGGATCAGCCTCCAGCACTGGAATCACAGCCTGGAGCTCTGCTGGCTGAGGTAGGACATCCACTCTTTGATGGGGGGGTTCCCCACAGCCGCCAGCTTTTTCAGAAAGGCGCTGGGCCGTAGCCCAGGGACATCAGGATGGGCCTCGGAGTACTTGTGCAGCTTGGCCAGCACGCGGGGGAGCCCCACGGTGGAGGCGTAGAACATGGGGCCACCCTTGTGCTTTGGCCACCCGTAGCCATTGATGTAAATCACATCCAGGTGCTCCGGGCCTGACGCTATTCCCTCAGCCAGGATGGCAAAGCCTTCGTTGATGAGGGAAAACAGACACCGCTCCAGGATTTCCTCCTGGTCTATGAAGCGGGGCTCGATGCCGTGGGTGTCCCTGTACTGGGCCAGGAGGTTGTGGAGCCACGGGTCTGGCGTGGCTGTCCTGCCCCCGGCCTTCTCGTACTGGTACCAGCCCTTGCCTGTTTTCTGGCCGAAGCGGCCGCTCTCGCACAGCAGGTCTGGCAGGGGGCTGTACCGCTGGCCCTGCCGCTGCCGCGCCGGCGTCCCCGCGGGCACCGAGGGCCCCGTGAGGCCCTGGCCCTGCCGCGACCTCCAGCCCACATCCAGCCCAGCCAGGTCGGACATGCGGAACGGTCCTATCTTAAACCCGAAATCTTCAAGGACCCGATCCACCGCCTCCGGTCTGCTTCCTTCCTCTAGAAGGAAAACTGCCTGTTGTACGTACGGGAACATCATTCGGTTCCCGACAAACCCAAAGCAATTCCCTACCACCACTCCAACCTTTTTGAGTGCTTTGGCCAGCTGCACGGCAGTGGCGATGGCCGTGGGGGACGTGTGGCGGCCATAGATTATTTCCAGCAGCCTCATCACGTGGGCAGGGGAGAAGAAGTGGGTGCCAATGACCTGCTGTGGGCGGCTGGTGGCAGAAGCTATTTCGTCGATGTTCAGGGCTGATGTGTTTGTGCACAGCAAGGCCCCTGGCTTGCAGATCCTCGAGAGCTTGCGGAATATTTCCTTCTTCAGTGCCATGTTCTCAAACACAGCCTCAATGACGAGATCCACATCACGCAACGAATCAAAGTCCACAGTGAACTGGAGACGTGCAGGGTTATGGAAATCCAGGGTCTGGGCACCCAGCTCCATTTTCGTCGCCTCACGTTCCAAAAGGAGCATCACAGCTTTTCTTCCCGTGTTCAGATACTCCAGATCCTGCTCCAGGGCTACCACAGGTATGTTGGCCTTAACCAGAGAAGTCACAATGCCTCTGCCCATTGTTCCCAGCCCTAGGGATAAAAGTGAGATAGAATCAAAGGCTATGAATGGAAAATTAATCACTTGGCAGTATAATTTCCTTTGTATCTCCAGGATAAAAAGTGATAGGCTCTGCAAAACAAGTGGTGCACACACAGAAAAAAAAGAATTGAAGACTGGAAAACAGAAGGGGAATTTCCTCTTTCAGCGAGCCCTAATGTTTGAAAAGCAGTAGCACAAAGGCAAGTTAGTGTCCTTACAAGCTCACAGAAGTCCAGTGGGATTCACCCAGTGGGCACAGACCATTTGATTCATGTCTTCTCCCTGCCAAGTTTTATACCTATGGAAACCAGCATCACTTGAGTGAGAACCTGGAGATCAGAGAGAGAAAATCTGAGTTACAGCTGCAACCCTGCTACCGTCTTCTGCAGGCAGGTTCAAAGCGAGCTTCCCCCTGAGGCTGTCAGTGCCCCACTGCTCCTGGGAGATGGTCTGTTTTGGGCAGCATGCAAATACTGTGCTAGTACGATTTTGACACCAGCAAAGCTCAGACAGTTGGGTTCTCCCTCCTTCTCCCTACTTTCCCCTTTGTCTCCCTCCTCTTCTCCCTCCACACTTCATTATGTAATCTTTGGAGCAAGGAAAATTCAGCTGCTCTTTCTGTAAAGACTCTTGGACTCCAATCTGCTCTAAACTCTGTCTCTAATGTCTTGTGTGTCTCTCGTTGCCAGGACAAACAGGATGGAAGTGACACAGCATTCCCAATCCAGAATTCAACACCTTCTCTCTCCTTTTAAAGCACTCTGGCACATCAGTAGCCTTTTGCCTGCTGTTCACACTTCATATCAGGCATCTCTACCCGCTCTCCAAGTCCTCCAACACAGGTCATTCCTAACTTCTGGAGATTCCCAAAGTCACAGCCTTCCTTGTCCAACCACACAGTTAAAGAATTCCTGTTAAAGAATTTATACAGTGCTTTTTTTTTTTTCTCCAAGACCATAAATGTGCCACCACCATCAGGAATAACAGTGTGGTGATTACTGGCTGGATCCCTTCCACCAGCTCTGCCCTCTGTGACATCAAATGAAGCTGCACATTTACCCTTTCCTGTGACACACAACCCACACCACTGAGCCTGCTCTCCCACCACAGAGGCTTTTCCAGCTAAGTTAATGCAAACTAGTAAGGGAAGGTCAGCCCATTTTACCAGCTTTAGAAGTGTGAAGCATCTGAATGGAAGGATTATTAATATCCTAAGTAAAGCACCAACCAGACAAAGCAGAGGTTTGTTATAATTCAGTTAAAATGATTTTTTTTAATCCCAGGTTTACAAATGAAAGTCAGCTAAACAAATATACAGAAAAAAAGGGGATTAAAAAATTTGCCTAAAGCAGCTTTGTAAAGAAGAGCTGAAATGATGTTATCCTTCAAAGAAGTTCCAATAACCAAGGTCAAGCAAGGTAGGACGTTTTTCCTGCGTGCTACACACCCTTGGTATAGTTCTGCCCAGCCTCAGCTTGTGTGCACACAAGACATTTCAAACACTCCCTACTCAGCCACCAGAAGATAGTTTTTACTGACATCACTAGCTGGCAGCCTGCTTATAAACCATCATTACCACTTCTAAGCAAGTGCTGAAGTTCCTTTCTAGGAAATTAGATTTGCTACTTAATAATCAAGTCCTACTGAAAACTAATTTGAAAATAAAACCAGAATAACATGAATCAGCTCTTAGCACTTCAGTGTCCACAGTTTGCTGACTGAAAAAACCCAAACACAAGTAGCTCCTTCCATAGTGCACAGTCCCCAGAGCCTTGGATGTGGGAGCAGGTACAGTTAAGGACAGTTTTTCCCTGTCTTTGGTGAGCTACAGGAGCTGCTCTCTCCTTGGGCAGTGCAGGAGGGTAACTCACTCCCCAGGCCCAGCCCTGTCTATAAGGTGTCTTTAGACATCAGGCTGAAGTGTTTGCAGTTCCACACAGCTCCCTCTTCAGTCTCTTCCTTTCCAGGGTGGAGTCCTGGGGTTTTCCCTAGAATTTCCAAGCTCTTCACACATCCTGGGTCTTACTGACTCCTGTTCCTCTCAGGTTCAGCCTCGTGACTGAAATCTCAGCAGTTCTCTCGCCATCTGAGCACACTTGTTCTTCCTGAATCCAAACCTCTTCCATGAGCAGACGTTCTCCAACCTTCTTTTGCAGGGAAGCTCTGCAGTGGCACGAGGTGATTCCCCTCTTTGCTTTCATCATGAGTGCTCCCACGTGGGTTTTAGCCATCCCACGATGGACAGGCACACATGCTTGTAGTACTACACTTTCTAGGCCACAGGCACAGACTTAAGGATAAGATATGAGCTTGCCAAGCTTGTTTCTGACCTAGAAAAGCTGTCTCTCAACTTCCTCCAGAACTCTGCAGTGGCCTGTATGAAATGATGTTTAATGAAGCTGGCAGAGAGAGTAATGAAAGCCCCAAGGGGTTTGTTACATTAGAGCTTGCACAGCATGATTCCCCTGGAGGTATTTTCTAAAATTGGGCTATAAAACTGAGGAGAGCTCTGGCTATCCAGCAGGGAAAGAGCATTTCTGAGGACTCCCCTTTTCCGTTTCATAAAGCCAAGTGATCTTGGGGAAGAATATATTAGAGCAGAAAATAATGGTAGGGAATCTTTGGGTCTTACATGTGAGAAGGCTGTAGAAGGAGGAGGAAGGGAGATGTCTCATGCTCAGCTCAGATCACTCGGACCAAAACACGGTGAGGAACTACTCCAGAATTTCTACTGCGTGTTCCATTTTCTTACTCAACAGTGCTCTCACTTCCCCCAAACCATGAAAACTCCTATATTCTCATCTTGCAGGCAGGGGACTGTTTTCATGTCCAAGGCACATCTTCCCAAAAAAGACTGAAATCTGCCTCAGGAACAAGAACAGTGCCCAGCCATCCTGCTCCTGGACTTTTGTTGTGAAATGAAGCTTTGACATATAAATAAAACTACACTTGAACACATGTAATTTCAGGCCAAATATGGGTATGACAAATCCATTTGCTGGGCAAGCTGAGTGAAAAATGATGGTTAATTATTGATCTGTCACGAGGTACTCAGAATACAAAAAATCATACAGAATTAATTGAAGGACTTTAAAAACAAATTTCAAAACAAAAGAACTTGAAATATGTACAAGGCAACTTGTGTAGTCACACGCACTACAGAAATACAGATCAGTGGAAAACATTCTGAACTCTAATGAATATTTGGACTCTAAAATGCCTGGCAATGGAAAAAATCCTTTATAGATTGGTAAAAATATGCAAGGACTGTTCCAGTTTTCCTGTTAAAAACAACAATGAGCAATTGGTGGTGGCGGGCTGCTGCAGACTGGAGCTGCTGCTTTCCCTGTTTCAGGGTACTAATTTCAAGCAGAAGTAATGTGATACCCCAGGCAGGCAGGGAGCTATGGGGAGATGCAGTTGGAAGGGACAGAGGGAGGCAGAAGAGCTCTTTTTCTGGGTGATGAGGAGCCAGAGACAGCGAAAAGAGGGGGGAGCCAAGAGTTCAGAGCAAGCAAATGAAACAAAAAGTCAACGTGAAAAACTCAACGTGATCTTCTCACTTGCTTCACATCGTGCAGCAATAAAAGATGGAAGCAGCAGCATAGTGCAACATGGGTGTAGTGTGTGAAACAGCACAGCACAGTTGCAAAATGAGGTTTGCTTGATTTCTGACAGCCTAAAGGGATGCAATATCTTTCTCTGACTGTCCTCCTCCCTGCAGTGAAAATAGAGAGACCCTGGGTCACCTCAGTAGACTCAATGCTTGCGTGGATGAGCAGCACTGTTTTAAAGGCTGCCAGTCTCTCAAAAACCATCCCTAAAATTTTGATTTCTGGTGCTGCAAGGATGCACTTAAGATCAAAGATGTGAAGTTACAAAACGCTGTAGAGCATTGTACTGGCTGGAGAATGACTATTTTACAGCAGCCTGAAAGAAAAATTACAATTGTGTTGGCATGTTCTCCACCTGTCTTTAACAGACTTGCCATTTCACTGATGTCAAAAGGCAAAACAGGAGGAAAACCTTCTAGAGGAAGGAGAAGAAACACAACAAATGGCAGAAAGAAGTGGTGGAAATCAGTGACACTTTGGTGTGGGATTCAGGGTTTAAAAAAAGGTGATCAAGAACCTCTGAAACAGGAGATGTCACATCAAATAAAATATGACATCAACAAGAGCATAAACAGAGCAAGTTATACTGGTGGGCTATGGGGGCTGAGTGATAGGAGCAGTGACTCAGCAAAGGCATTGGGGTCTGGGTGAGTGTCATGGCCCTGGGTGCACTGATGAGCTTAAATGTCCCTGAGCAGCCACACCTGGAGCCTCCCCCACCCGTATGGGCCTCTGAGCCCCATTTAAGCTCAGACCTGAGTCTGCAGTCCTTTCCTAAACCCAGCTGGAGGAGTTCTGGTGGGTTACTGTGGCTGTGCCAGGTTATGGATGCTGTTGATCCAGACCTCAGCCTGAAGAGTGGTTTCCCACCTTTACCTTGTATCTACATCATCCTGGGAACTTTGCTTGATCCCCTGTACTTCCAGTGGGTCCTGGCTGTGATCTCTGGGCCTGCCCTGCTTGCTGTGCTCAAGTACTGTAAATATTGATGCAGCAGTGGGTTGTGCTGCCATCCAGGGGGAGAAATGGGGTGGGTAGGAGCTTCAGGAAGCTCAGCACAGGGAATTGCTAAAGGCCAGCATGCAAGGAGGAGCAGTCCTGTGCACCAGCACATGCTGGGGGCTGGAAAGCAGCTCCCCAGGAAAGGGTCTGGGGGTGCTGGTGGGCACCAGGTTGAGTCTGAGCAGTGATATGACCCTGTGGCAAAGAAGGTTAATGGTATGTGGAGCTGTGTTAGGAGGGGTCTTGCTGGCAGCTTGAAGGAGATGATCCTGCCCCTCTACTCAGCACTGATGAGACCATCCCTGGAGTGCTGGGTCCAGCTCCAGGCTCCCCAGCATGAGAGTGATGTGGAGTGAGTTCAGTGAAGGGCCAGTAAGGTGATTAAGGGACTGCAGTGTGTCCATGAGGAAGGGCTGAGGGAGCTGTGACTCCAGCTTGGAGGGATGTCACCAATGTTGTGGAACCTTTATCATTGGAGATGTTCAAAAGATGTCTGGGCATGGTCTTGGGCAAGTGGCTCCAGGTGATGTCATTTGAGGACAAGATGACATTCAGAGATCCCTTCCTGCCTCACAGATTCTGTGGTTCTGCTCTCCAGGAGGTGTTATTGCCACTGGCTCCCCATCCCCGGGGTGCAGCTGCTCCCTGCCAGCAGATAATTAACAGGATGTGTTGAATGTGGCGAGTATGAAAGTTGGCTCTTATCCTGAGCATACTAAGTTAGGAGCAAGGAAGAAGCATCTTGGTACCTGGTATTGGTGTAATTACTCCTCGAATGGTGTTCTCACTTTGGCTACGCATGTTTTAGGAAGTGCTGAAAAATTAGGGGAAGTTCAAGGTCATGACAATGACCAGAGTGTGACAGACTGTGCTCTGCAGCAGAAGTATGAAAGCACTTAGTTTATTTATTCTGCAGAAATATGGTTAACTTGAGCTTTGTTTGTAATCATCTATGAAAACACTGAAACTTGGGCATGAGGTTGGGCAATTTCAGACCAGAATTCAGAAATCTGTCCGGAGATGAGGCAAATACTTAATCCAATGTATGGGAGATGCAGCCCAGCCAGTTCAGCTTGGAAATGAGATACAGGTTACATTTCTCCTGGAAGCTTTCAAACAGAGGTTGCAATTTGTCCTCAGAATTCTCTGCAGCTCAGTTACAGCACCAAAATAGGCAGATCAGATCTAACAGCCCTTCTGGCTAAACTGTCACAGCGATTAGGTCTTTGCAAGTGTATTGTTCTGGCTGGTTTATCAGTACATAGCAAAGAATGTCCGTTCCAGTCACCCAGGCATTCCTACAAACTCCAACAAGAGCCCCTCCTGGCAGAGCACACATTTCAGGATGGGACCTGCCTGTCTCCAAAGTTCTGTGCTCTTCAAGCCACGGAATACACTTGGCAATAACTAATGCCTCTTTACCTGAATGCTTTGACAGCCACAGATCCTCCACCCAGGGTTTATGGACCAGTGTTTAAAAATTATTCTTATTAAAAATATGGCATGGCAGCCAATGAAGGGAAGGGAACTTCCAAAAAAAACCAGTGTTATGGCTGAAATGAACTGTCAGACAGCTCAATAGCCCTGAGAAGCACCGAGAAAAGAGTAGTGTTGATCTGGTGAGATTTCCTTGAAGCACAGTGGATGTTTTCCAAGGGCTCCATTACTTGTCTAACCATTTTTTACTGCTACTATCAACAGGCAGAGCTGAAAGATTTTTTTTTTTAATCTCAGCAGTGCATCAAAGGTTTTATTTAAATTGCTCTTATAAAAAATTAATGAAGGCATTATCTTGCTGGGCTACAAAATGGCAGGAGTGGATCCCAGTGAGATGAAATCTTCTTAAAATACAGCTGTCAAAACATTTTTTGTATTAATATATCCCTGAGTGACTCTGCACATGCACTTGCAGTGCAGAACTAGACCAGGAGGAGGAGAATTTCATACAAGGGTGCTTCTAACACGACGCAAAGCCAGGACATAGAGTGTTTAAAAGGGAGCAGACTCCTTGTGGTCCACACACACAAAGCTGTTTTTGAAGTGAGAGGAAGTTATTCTCCCAAAGAAAGATGTGGCAGCAGGTAATAATGTAGTGGGATATGAGATGCATGTGAATTTCTGAGCTTGCCAATGAAGTGACAACTTCCCTCTTTGGGTGGATTACCTGTGCTTGTGATGGGTGTGACTCTGGGAATCCCACTCCTGCCTTCTGTGATCCCCCTCAGCTCTGCTGTTCTCTCTGCTCAGCCCCACAGATCACAGTGATCCCCCTCAGCTCTGCCGTTCCCTGGTGCCCCACACCCGCTGTTCCGTGCCCGTCCCTCAGCCCTGTCCCTCGCTTACCGATCACGGCCGCAGAGCGGACGGGCTGTGGGGTCGCGCTGCTCCAGGAGGCCCCGCCGGGAGTTGTCCATTTCTGGGCGGCTCTCTCGGCAAGGAACGCGTATTGCAGGGCCCGGGCCTGGCCCGAGCTCAGCAGGACCATGAACAGCTCTCGCTCCCTGCGCACCCCGTCGGCGAAGGGCATCTGGGTGGCGGCCCTGACGGCCTGGAAGCACAGCTCCGGAGCCAGGCACCCCTGTGCCTGCTTCTTCACCCTCACACGGGCTTCGCTGAGAAAGGCTTCCATGTCGGGCAGCTTGGGGACCGGCTTCAGGCTGAGCCTGCGGGGTCCCAGGGGCTGGCCTGGCGGGAGAGAAACAGGGTTGCAGGACAAAGCATCCACATCTTTTCAGACATTGTCTTTCCACCCCATTCCACAGGATGGGAAGGCAGTTTACCTATTTTTCCCTCTGCATCTCACTGCATTAGGGCTTGCATGGCACTGTGAGATGGGTCTAGAACTTACAACATCTGACATTTCTTCTTACCTCTGCTTGATCTGACATTTGCAATTTTTCAACTCCCTTCTCAGACTTCAAAAAAAAGTAAGATTTCAGTTTCAAAGAAGTAATTCTCTCCTTTTTCTCAGCTCCCAGAGTGCCCTGACTTCTCCAGTTCTCCTCCTCCACAATCCCAGCTGCCACATTCATATGGCTCTTCCTCATAAGCCCCAGTACTCAAGTTTTCCTCCAGTATTGTTTAGTACCCAGTGCCCAATTGACTTTGCTAGCCAGAGGCATTCCAGCCAGGGTGCTGATCCAGGCATGGATAAGAGACTGGGAAATACACCCTGATTTCAGCTGTTCCCTGACTGCAGGAGCCCCTCAATTCACCTGGGGACCAACCACCAGGAAAGCTCACCCAGCATGAGCTGAGGAGCAAATGAATAACAAGGGAGAGTTCATGTTTCTGTGTCAGCAAGGGGTGAATCAAGCAGCCACACAAATATGTGAAGCTCATTACAGACAGAGGTTGCTATGGTGATACCTAGAAAGGATTTTAATTGAGAGAAGTTAGTTATATTTCAGATGCCAAAATCCTATGTCTTCTTCAGAAGCACAAACTCAGAGCCTGCTGAGAGAGCTCTGACCTGGCTTTACTCAGGGGTTCCTGTACTCTTAATGGCAGCTTGCTCAGTAAAGACTGTGGAAGAACAAGATCAGAAATCCAGAATGTATCCCCTTAATCCTGCAACATTTTCACAAAGACCCTGTTGTCATCACAGCCACATCCAGATCATTAACTGCAGCATGTCACTGCATGGATTGCTGCAGTGCTGTTCCCAGAAGCAGCTGGGACTGCCACCAAAGCAAGGTGGTGGGTTGGGAACCTTCTGCTGAGAAGCTCCCTTGGTACAGTCTCGTTGCCCTTGCCACACTTCCTTCCAAGGCAACATATTACATCCAGCTCCCCTTTTTTTCCTGTTGTCTGAGTTAGGGAAATGCCAGTGCACCAGCAGAAGACTCAGGAAGTCAGCCAGAGGATGCTGAAGAGCAGGAATAATGGCAGTACTGAAGGAATGGGTGCCCAAAGAACTTGTCCTGACTCAAGCTCTTCCTGCAAGACTGAACAATGCTTAAGATAAACAGAAATGTGAGTTTTGTAGAATGAGTTATTATGCTGTTTTCCTGAAATAATGGTCTTCAGAGCTCAGGCTTTTTAATTAAGCCTTGTAGAGAACATAAAAAGATGAACACTCGCTGTGTAAGTAGCTTCCCTTGTAATCAGAGTTCATTAAAATGTTTTTATATTGACAGTGGATGTAATTTTTATCTTCCAGTATTGCAGGATTTAGTCATGTTCCTCTATTTTTGAACCCTTTGTTTCTCCCCTAAATCTGTGTTTTTAACCCTGACATGCTCTTTATTTAGGACTTAAATAGTGGGTTTCATTCCATCACAAGAAGGAAGCTCAGGTTTGTCCCAGAAAGCTGATCTGGTGGCTGGAAGGCCACCTAAGACTGAGCAGATCAAGGGACTTCATATAACATCTCTGTGGAAAGGACTGGTAAAAGAGGAAGGCCACTGGGAGCCTTTAAGCTTGTTCTTCAGAAAGCAAAGTACTGACTGGGGACAGGAGACAGTTCTTCAGAGTAAGAAAGAAAAGCAACTCTCCTCAGGGTCCTGTAATAAAACTCTTATTTAGCTGCAAGCTAAATAGGTTTTGCTAAATATTT